GGTTGGTAGTCCAAAACCCAATTGAAATTCAAGTTGGCAAGTGCCTTCCCTTAATGCTGTGGCTAATTTCAATCCTTCTAATGACTTGCAGAACTAGACAGTACCAGAAGACATTTGAATAATGAATCTTCCCATTCCACTCTTACTTGGATGAGTGTGTTGTTCCATATTTCTGGGGGCATAGCCAAGATACAACAACTCCCCAATAAATTTACAGCCAGATATGAAGTTTTCTATTAATTGCATGACATTTTGTACCTGAGTCCTCTAGTAAAATCACGTTGTTATTATTATTGTATGAGGAATTATAAATCAAAACTGTGACAGCAGGGCCTGTTCTCACTCTAGCACATGACTATTTCACCCAAGGCCCACACCTTTTCTCATCTTCCCAGTGAGTAAAAAAAACAAGCTGGAAGTGGCAGCATCTTCTTTCCAAAAGATTCACTGCAAAACCAATATCTACTGCAACTCAGGGACTAAACTGCAAGACAGTTACATGCTCAGTTAGAAAAGAGATAGAAATGGTTAAAGATGGATACTAAGTAGTGAACAAGTCATCTCGACAGTACCTGCAGTATCTTGCAATCTGATTCAGCTAAATACCATCCTTCCCCCTCTCCCAAGAGATACTGAATACCTCAGAGGGCTCCAAGCATCACCTCCTGTGTTACAATGCACATGACCTTCCATCGGTATTTGGCAGTTAATCAGTCACACTTTCAAGTTAACTAGATCTGCTCCTGCTTTAAAGATGTCATTCAGACACATATTCTAATGCACTAAGGACCAGGACAAAGACTTGCAAAAATTAAATTACCAAGACTTGAAGACAATGCTAAAACATTATCTTATCTCCTGATGGCTCTTATCTGGTGATGTGATTTTTGCAGTGGGTTAATGGGGTTGGGTAGTGTTGTTCCCCGTAGATGGTGATGGAGACAGAATTCTTCCTCCACAGAGTTCCACCACCAGAGGATCCACTCAGTAACACTTTACAAGCCCAAATGCTGCATCTGTCAAACATTTCCTCTTCACTTTCATATTTCAGCCAAATTAGCCACTTGATCTTGAGCCTGTCTCAAGCAAATTTCACAAGTCCCAGGCCAGGCCCAAGAGGACATGCACACACCAAGGCTGGCAGGTGTTCTTTCCACTGCCTTTGTCTTTTGAAGTGCTAGGGAATATCTCATTACATGGGTGTCTCCAGCCTTTGACATCGAGATTCCAAACCTTCCCATGTCAAACAGCCTCACCTGTGTTGCATTTTAATGGCCAAAGATAAAATTTTTCCAAAATAACTATTAATTTTTAATAAGCCCTTGCTCCACGCTTCCAGCCAGCTTAGTAAGCAGGATAAAAGCCCAAACCAGACACACTCTGGAAGGCTGCAAGTCTCACTTGGCATAGGATGAAGAAAGAAAATCAGTTCAGAGCTACACTGATACTGGTTGTGGGCACAGACACTGCCTTTTCCCAGTAATTGTGTTGCAAGAATTTGGAATCATTTCCTTAACAGCAAGAGGAAGAGCCAACTCACTGCCTAAACTCCTTTTCCTTTTCAAAAGGGATTAACATTTTCATTTCTGGTAAAGGAGCTGCTGTCATCTTTAGAAGAAATCACTGAGCCCAAATTCAGCATTAACAAAACCATCTACAAAGGTTGCCTGAAGAAGAAAGGAATTGTGTTATTCTGCCGAGTTCCTCCGAGTTTTTTTTCCCCAATCGCTCCGGCAGATCATGCTGATCCACACCTCTGTTAATGCTTCCTGGTGTCATCTACCCCCAACACCTCTCCCCGTGTGCTCAGTTATCAGTGGCAGAGACACTCTGGCTCCCCATGCTCCTCTCCCACACCGAGGCAGCGAGTTTTGGGGTACATCCTCACCCCCCTGGCTCTGAGCTCAGTCCAATTATCCCAATTACCAACCACGGCAGGATCTAGAGGAGTTCCTGCCTGAACACGTGAACTGAGACAGCCAAGCACTAAAAACCTCAACCTTTGAGGCATGTGAGCCAGGTTTTGGCTTGGCCACTGGAAGAATGAAGAGGACCTTCAGCACTAAGCTTAGTCTGTAGAGAGGATGGTTCCCTCTGCATCCTCGGGGGGCAGAGATGCCTACCTCCCTTTCAAGGCTCTAAAACAGTGTAAGACCACAAAAACCGAAACGGGGGGGGATAAGTACTGCATCTTGTAAAAAACCAAGCAGGCATTAAGGAGGCCACAAGGAGCTCCAACGCGAGCCGATATCATTTGCCATTAGATTCTAAACACCTTTTCACTCGTTCGAGCAGAGTTCCAAGGCAAAACAGCGCAAGGTACCCCTGGAGCTCCGCAGATCAGCTCCTTCCACGCAGGCAGGTGAGGACACATCCCCCTGTCCCACCTGCCTTCCCTGCAGTGCTGACAAATCGCTTCGAACCGCAA